GCACATGGGCATTGTCAGTTTCACTATAGCTCTGGTGAATTTCAATGGTGAAGTCCTCTGGAAATCTTCAATAATTGTTGTTTGTAATGGGGACCACGAGTCCCATTACCCTTATGAAATATTATTATTGATTTTGTGTTGTGTAGTATTAAGTTGGAACAAATAGTTGGTTGTTTTAGTTGTTTATTGTAGTTTTGTTTGGACATTTTTCATGCATTCTTGTGAAGCAGAAGGACTGGCCATCCTGCCTGTGGAAGTGTAAACATTCATTTCAATGATTTTTCCTTAGTTTCTGTTTAAGTTAAGTACAAACCTTTTCCTGGTTTGGCTCCTTAGCAGGGCATGGCAGAAAAAGGTAGAAGTGTTCCAGGTGCTGCAATGCACTTGGAGCAAACCAAAATGACCAGGAGGGAAGTTTTGGATGAGTTTTGTTAAATTTGATGGGGTTTTTGTGATTTACTTTAGATTTGTTTAATTGTATTGTTTTTTAGGTATGTAAATATTACTTTGGGTGTATAGTACGTATAAGTATGTTTATTAAGTTGCACCGATGCCATTTTTTGGCCCCCGATACCGAAACCTGGCTGTGCAGTATCAGCCGATACCATCTGTTTTAAATTAATGTGTGTTTATATATAAAGAACTGCATACTACTTAGATGTAAAATTATTGCCATCATGTCTTTGTCAAGCTGCTGTCTATCTTTGTGAAGCAGGAAAAAGACTGATACAAATTGAATCCAGTAGAAGTTTTTATTGCCTACCTGGATTGGGTGACAAAATGGTATCGCTGCCCTATTTGTTGGTACTCACCGATACCACCATTTTAGATCTGGATCGGGGCCCCGCACGATACTTGTATTGGTATCGGTGCAACACTTATAATAATTTTGCTTCTTTTTCTTAATAATCCCTTTTTAAAGTTCCTTCCTTCATGTAACCCGAATTGAGTTTGGTATAACATGCTGATTGTTCTTTTTAGTGTAAGACGGGGTTGGTGTGCACACGCTGGAGCAGTTTTGTGTTCCCTCTGCATTAAATATTGGGCCTCCGCCGGTCAAACTGACATTGTTGATTGCAGATGTTTCTAGTATTTCCCATTGATTTTGCTTGTAAAGCGGGGAGAATTGCGCTAGGCTTACCGCACCGTGTCGTCACTGCTGGAAGATGGCAGGAGGGAGGGGGTACTGTATTTGGGCAAAAATGGCCGCTCCTAGACTCAGTGATCGCGATGAAAATTATTATTATTTTTCTTTTAACTGATAAACGCCAAATTAATGAAATCACCTCAAACGCATTCGTTTTAGGTCTAAATAATGATCCATTGATTATTCCTCGGTGAGCGGACTTTTCCTTTAAAGTAACCGCCCATGGTGGCTGAATTTACCTCCTGACTGAAGTCCAGCTCACAGAGTTTTGAGCTCTGCTTCCTGGCATCCAGCAGCACGTTGAACATGGTGCAGACCGACAGCGGCACCCGCAGATCCGTGGATTTACTCGCCTTCTGAATTCTGGCATCAAAGGCAGATTTTGTCCTGTGGGATCAGACATGATGGGGAGTTTAAATCAGGCATTTCAGGAAAAAGAAAAACAACGTTTTAGGGTGATGTTGAGGTGGACTGATATGAATAAGGATCCTTCTGTCATCAGCTGTTTGCTTCTAATCATATTTAGATGTATTTCATTTTCTCTACAGTCTAATACCCTGATGGTGGAGATGATGGTTGTTAGTCGGAGCTAAATAAATTCATTTAAAGATGACTTCCTGTAGTTTATCTGAGTTTCCTTCCTTCATAGATCTGCTTCAGCAAACATTCAATAGATTCACATCCCTCTGATCAATGAAAGAAGCTGTTCTCACACAATTTCTCTTGCTCCCTCCTTTCAATGATATATTAAAGTTTTCACACCCTGTGTTTAAAAAGATTCTGCAAAACGGGTCAAAAATGTAACTTCAACTCATTTCTATGCAGATATTTTAATTTCTTCACTGCCTGGTTGGTGTTCAGTTACCTGTGGAGTTTGTATCTGACAGAGCCTGAAAAATTATTTTATGTTCTGGCTGCAAAATCTAAAAACATACAGTTAGAAAGAATAACTTCTATCGAAGAAGGTAAAAATGATCCTTTAATATATAATAAACACTAAACATACAGGTGCAAATGACCTGCAAACATATGAATGATGCAAACACTAAAACCAAATAGGATAGAAGAAACTCTGCTGTAATCAAAGACAGAAGAAAAAGAACAATGACGAAACAAAAAACCCAACAACAACTTCAATAAAGTCCTAAAATGTTCAAAACATTTGCGACCTACAGGTTATTTACTGTACAGTAAACAAGCTGCCCCGAAACCTGAAGGTCGACGCCCCGAAAGTATGCAGCACTTTTTTTAATGGAGCCAGTTTGCTGATGAAATTGGGAATTTGCAGATTTTTTTCTTGGTATTTGTTTTGTAAGATGTTGGTTTTTGCTTCTATTTAGTTTTCCTGACTGCTGCCTCGTTTTTACATCATTCATTTCACTGTTTGCACCTCGTTCTGCACCGTTTCACAGCATCACTCACTAAAACCAGCCTTTTTATTCCCTGCAGACCTTTAAAAGCAATGATCTGAATCTCAAACAATCTCAATCATTCCCTGCTCTCCATCTTCTGGGCGAAATAAAAACAGATATTGGCTAATTCATTGGCAGGTTGATCATATGTGGATGCACCTCTGCTCATATTTCTCACCGTTTGACGCAGGCGTCCATCATGTCGCTGGCCATCAGTTTGAGTCTTTGCTCCAGATGTTTGGCGAACTCTGGCTCTGGCCACTGGAGATCCATCACAAACATCTGCAGAGCGTCCAGCTTCCAGAATAAATCCTCGGAGGTGGCCGATCCGTTGCTGCAGGGATAATGGAGAAGCTTAGAAACAGAAAGCTGCTGATCAGACAGAGACCTTTAGAGACGCTGCAGTCTCATCTCTGAATTAATTCCTGTTTTAATTAAACTGAAGATGACGGGGAGACTGTAGTGCTGAAAACATCTGGGAATGTTTTTTTTTTGTCTTTAATGCTTTTCTCTCTTTTAATACTTTCTTATTATCCAACATCCAGTAAATGTGACCAGAAGGCATCAATTATTTCCTCCTAACCAGGACTAAAGAAGAAGATGATCTCAGCTAAAGTCTTCAGAGGAGTAAACCTTTCCTGTTGGCCTGTTCTTAATGTTGTAGAATCAATATTCACACTCCTGTCATGATTGTTTGATGTCCTGCACTGACTGCGTCCCCTTTAGTGTTGGGCACGTTACTTTGAAAAAGTAATTAGTTATAGTTACTAGTTACTTCTCCCAAAAAGTAACTGAGTTACTAACTGAGTTACTACACAATAAAAGTAACTAGTTACTAGTAAAAGTAACTATTACGTTACTTTTGCGTTTCTCGCCCCCGTAACCCTCACCACTCAGCCCCCACCTTCTCGCCGTGTGTTTCCAAAGCCAGCTGAATAGAGCGGACGACAAAGACAAGAACCTGCAGAGAGTTTAGCATTTATTGCAATTTAACGTAAATGACATCAGCGGGGAACGCCATGTGAAGTTTTTTAACAGGGCATTCAGATCTGGTGAGTATATGAAATTAATAACTGGGGACATTTAATTCTGAAATCCTGTGTGTTTGGGTTGTTATAGATACTGCAACATCTATCTATCCATCTATCTATCTAGATCTATACTCTGTGTGTGACATAAAATATGGATCTCCATCCCTGCCACAAAGGCCATCAAATAATGTTTAAAATAAAAAATACAGTAGTTTGAAAAGGCAGAGTATCCAGATTTCTCCCTTTCTCCATATAAGCTTTGATCCTTCACGCTCTCCATAGTTCTCCTGTGGCGCGAGCACAGAGCGACTGTTACGTGCCTTTAGCGAGCATGCGCATTTCCTGTCGCTTGCGCTGTGAATCGTGCCGCCTGCGCTGTGCGGAGATGCAGAGGAAACCGTATGTGATGGGGAAACGCAGCTCGACGTAACACCAGTATTTCCATCTGGAAAAGGCTGTTTTGCTGCTGGAGTCCTCCTCACTCTCCATCTCTCTGTGTGTGCTGTACGTTAACACCAACCAGCAGAAACACCCACCTACCCAACTGACAGACGGAATCTCACTATACATCAGCCATTCTCATCCTCCCCTCTCAAGGCGCACGAGTCCTATCATGAAAAAAGGTTAACTGCGACCTGAGTAACGCGCAGTAACGGGGTGTCGGCAGTAGTAACTGCGTTATAGTTGCAGTCAAAGTAATTAGTTAGATTACTCGTTACTCAAACAAGGCGCCGTTACTTTCAACGCCATTAGTCCCATCACTGGTTCCCTTTTTTTAAATGTCAGCACTCTTCATGCCCACCTGAGCTCTTCTAAATATCAACAGATTCAGCAGCCAGATTATCTAAAGCTTCATTCAGATAAAACCAGGTGTTTAAACCTAACCGTGTTTTCTGCTGCTCTCTGCCTGTCCCTGCCTGTTTTAACAGGTCTGTCAGGCAGGTTGGTGGTTGTGCTAAAACATCAGACCCTAAAGCCTGGTTTATGCTCACAAACCAGGTGGTCTGCGTGTGTGTCGCAGTGAACGCAGATATGCCCCACCCCCTCCGCAGACACTCTGCTGCTCCTCTCCAAAATGGTAGGTGCCCGCAGACAGAAGGCCTCTGATTGGTCAGATCTCCATCCGCTCTACACAATGGGTATTTCCTGTTTGGTTCCTTACCGGCTTGTTTTGTTTGTCTGACTGCAATTGAGGAAAACGACTGGTGAAGATGGAGCAGCTAGAAGAGCGAGTTGCGTGAGAACGCTGGGACCATTTTTCCACCTTGATCCCCATTCTTTTTGGCCCTCATGTCCCTCTGTTGTTGCACAAACTTGCCCCCACTTCCTCACCGCCTCGGCCGTATCTAGACCCACAGCTAGTTCTTGATTGGCCCTCTGGCGTTGTGGCGTGGAATAACATAGCGCAGACCACACTTCAATATTGGGCATAAATCAAAAATATAATCAGCCTGAAAAGATCAACCACTGGTTCAGTGCATGGCTGGCCTACAGCTTCTCAGCATCAGTTGATAGAAGGTGACCACGGTTCCACCAGCTCAGAGAAGAAGGCACCACTTCATGAATCCTGTGGTCAGATTGTAAATAAGTGTCCAATGTTGTTTTTATATTCTTGAACCATACATTCAGGCCTCTGCCAACTATGCACTGACGATGCGGCGGCAAAGCTGCGTGTTTCTGCTTAGTAAACAACACCATGAAGATGGAGACAGATGGACATCGCAGCACTGCAAACAGGTTAGACAGTAACACATGGCAACCCTCAGCACCATCAACATCCAAGTGTACAGCGCCCACAGCTAAAATGACTGCCGTGGGGACGTGGGGGGGGGGCTCCCTCTAACTCCCTCACTTTTCTCACTCTGCCTTTAAAAGACTGTTACCTTAGAAGTGCCGCACAGAAATAAATACTTGGGTTGAGTCCGTGTTGCAATTAAAAGCTGGGTGGCTATCCCCCTCAAGTCTAATTACTGGTGCTCTTCTGTGAACGTGCTCCGCCCCGCTCCCCGGGGAACGGGGCGATCCCACTCACCCGTCTGTGCTCGTTAATGAAGTGCCAGCTTTTTCTCCCCTCTCTTCTCTAGAGTGGTGAACGGCCAAGTGAGACGAGGTGGAGGAGCAGCGTGTACTGTGCTGTGGGAAAGGCTGGCAGAGCCAGACTGAAATCTTTTTAAGAAAAACACCCTCAAACTGTCTCTTGAGAACCCCATAACTCTGCCGCCCCCCAAAACGGCCATATAAGATAGAAAATCTGCTATAGAATTACTAACTACAACAATTAGGCTTCTTTAGTAAAGCATCATGAACTCTGATGTGTATAGTCAAGACTGATTATTTTCACGTTAAATGATTTTAACACAACAGATACTTGTAATAATGATGAGAATCAGCAGCTCAGCTGCTGATCATCTTAAGGCCACAGCTTCAAGAGGCAGAGGACCTGCAGATAGTCTGAAAATAATAATGGGCTTCATGCAGAAGCATTTTCCTATTCTTGTCATAAATTGTGGTCAAATACTTATGCAGCGTTCACACTGAAGGCATTAGGGGTGTCAAAAAACGCAGAAATCTGGAAGCTGGATAGAACTGTGGTCTGGTTGCTTTGCTGCTTCAATGCTCTGATTGTTTATCTGCTAGAGAGCAGACAGAAAAATAGTTAGAACACAT